TCTTGATACATACTTGATCTTAAATAATTTTTTATTAATTTTAATTTTGAAAAACTTTTTCCCCTATCTGTTTCAAACGGATACCAATACGGATACAGGCAACTTAAAATAAACATTTAGCAACATTGAACTGAATGGTAATAGATGGCGATACCTACTAAAGATATCTCTGACAATGACCACATATTATGTTGTCGGGCTGAGCTTTTAGCTTGCCATGTTGCCTAAATGTACAATTATTTCGCCGAGATGCCTTGATGCGCGCGGGGCATATAAACAGCACCGTTTGCACATGACTTACGCCGGCACTGTTCTTAAGTCACTGTGTTCTGCCAGATCTTTGAATCGTTCCAAGATGGATTGTGAGGGTGTCTCATTCTAGTGATTGCGTTTTGCCACTTTTGTAGTTTTTTTACAATTGGAAAAGCATTAATACATTGTAAATTTTATTCAATAATGGACCTGTATAAAATTTTGTAGATATTGACCGCCGCTTTCAGTTGTATCCCATTATTTTTATATGTAATGCATCTGAAATATTTGCTCTTGCTATCATCTTGGTTTTTATATGAAAGGCATCTGAAATCTTTGCTTGTACTATCATCTTAGTTTTCATAATAAAAATATTTTTTTGTAATTTTAAATATTTATGGCCCAAAAAAGTGACCGGACAATTTTGAAACTAAACCTACGTTAAACGATAATAACCTAGTATTGCATGATAATTTTGCATTATAAAATACAAAAAATATAATATTATAATATAATATTATATTATATGACATAAAATGTTTTAGAAATTATTATTATTTAACCATTGTTAAAAATTAAAAATAATACATAATGTTGTCACACAAACAACTTCTTAATAACGACAAAACCATAGCAGACTACGTGACATTCTTTAATGTCAAAAAATTACTTAGTGTCAGTATCAAAATAAATTGATAAAAAAGTATTTTCATTACATGAAACCTAGCTGTGATCACGCTCCGTCGCAAACTCGTCCTCGACTGGTAAAATCTACTTACCTCCTTTGTAGTGTAATATACTATTATTTTATGTTTGTTGTAATTTCACAATATATCGGTAAGTGCATGTTTAAATTTGGGTCTATTTTTACTAAATTTATTGGTATGTTTTACTATTTTTTGGTACATAATATAATATATAAATATAAATAGTATTTTCATAAATTAAATCCATGTGTTTTTATTTACCTTTTTAGCCCGGGTCATTTTTTTTTGTGTCAATCGTACAGCGTTGTTGTTGGACAGTGGTCATGTGTGAACATTGATTTTAAGTCATGGAGATTTACACGGACGCACAACGCATAGAAAATGTAAAAATCCACTATCGAAATGGTGAGAATTTTTCGGAAACGGTTTGAATACAGGGGCGTGCTGGGCCGCCGGGACACCGGGCGAATGCCCGGTGGCCTGCGCTACCATGGTGGTCTGCTGGACTTGTTATGCAAATAGAAAAAAGATTTTTATACCAAACAAAAAGTTATATCACTAAACACTAAATATAAATAAAAAAAGAAAGTTTTAAATTAAAACTTTTAATTTACTCCCGTAAAAAATCTAAAACACGTATCTTTTATGCTAACCCTTAACCAAATTGGCTTGGGCCTGGACTGCTCTACCATCTAGTCCAGGCCTGCATTGATTCTGCCAGCACGCCTCTGTTTGAATATATCGTGGATTTTTCGCTCACCATAACGCACCTTCTCGCGGTACTGTGGTCCGATTAATCGAGCAATTTGAAACGATTGGGTCAATTCAAACCAAAAAGAGACATGCCCGTGTTCGTGCAGCTAGGTCTGCTGAAAATATTGCAGCAGTTAGTAAAAGTGTTGAACATAATTCTTCCACCTCGATTCGCCACCGTTCCCAGCAATTGAGACTCTCAAAGCAGTTTACAGCCCCAAAGACCTGCATTTTCATGCGTACAAGATTAAAATTATTATTTTTTTAATGTGTTACAAATTTTAATGTCTTAATTTTTTTTAAATAAATGTAAGTATTAGATCTATCTAATACTTACATTTATTTAAAAAAAATTAAGATATTAAAATTTGTAACACCTATAGGTAACATTTATTTAATTTTAAATCACTCGTCAAAATGTTGCAAATGTAAAAATTATTTTTTCTTTTTTACAACCCAAGTAGGTAATATTTGTATCATTTATTTAATTAATAATAGTTTATTATGCGATGCGATGCGATGATGGGAAAAAGAAGAGATCCCTCGAGCGTGGATTAATATATATAGTTAATTTGCAACCTTTTCATTAAATAAATCGTAGAAGAAAAAGAAAATATTTTTAATTTTTTTTTGACGGACCGATTTTAAAGCAGCTTTTTAACCATTTTTGGTAAAAGCTCGCCAGTGGAATCTCCTCTTTTGACAAAATATTTTATTCAACTTCCGCAACTAATTTAAAGTCAACTTTATTTGATATTTTATCTGACATCTGACTACTGTCAAGAAGTTTTAACCTCATTTTTTTCCAAATTTAACTCATTTAGCTCATTTTAGCCCGAAATTCTATTTCCTCCACTAGTGGCCAAAGTGGAAGTTTGCCTACCGGCTGAAGTTAAGGAATAAAATGGGTGTTAAATAAAATAACAATATTGTCAATAAACGATAATTATTAATAGTATGTATTAACTATCTACAGGGTGTCCGGGAAAAGGAGGTCAATCCGTTAACCATATATTCCTCGAGTTAAAACAATAAGACTTTCATACCATTTTTCAATTTAGAGCTTCATGTTCGATATACAGGGCGACAAAGTTTGAAATTTAAAACTGATTTTTTTTAATAATTCAAGTAATTGATAAGATATTAAGTTCAAATTCGGTACACTACTTCAACATAAATAGTTACATTTTTTGAGACCAACAAAACAAAAAACAATTGTCAAATAATCAAAATAGGGGGGTCCAGTACTCACTGACTCCCTCTATTTTTTAGTACGTGCGCCAATGACTTCCAAACGGTATTTTTTCAGGTAATCATTTATTGTTGAAAATTTTTTGTCTCTTATAAAATTTTGATAAAATGATTTGTTTTAGGGATAATTTGTAAAGTATAAAATTTTCGAAATTTAATTTTTTTTTTAAAAAAATTTAGGTCATGTGATATATCATAAAAAAGGTCTCTAATAGGCCTTTAAAATAAGCCATCACTCACCTTTCTACTTTTAATAGTTTACGAGTTATCGCTATTTTTGTAAGTACTTGCAAGACCCAAATTTATCGGAATTTTTTGATTTTCAAAAATCAATAAAACAAAAACCACCTATCGAAAAAAATTCAAATATGGGATTTTTGAGGTTTTTAGTGAGGTAAACAATTTTACCAAAAATTATCAAAATCGGAGGTGGTTGATTTGATATGGACTGACCCATACTTTACAAATTATCTCTAAAACAAATCATTTTATCAAAATTTTATAAGAGACAAAATTTTTTTAACAATAAATGATTACCTGAAAAAATACCGTTTGGAAGTCATTGGCGCACGAACTAAAAAATAGGGGGAGTCAGTGAGTACTGGACCCCCCCCTATTTTGATTATTTGACAATTGTTTTTTGTTTTGTTTGTCTCAAAAAATGTAACTATTTATGTTGAAGTAGTGTACCGAATTTGAACTTAATATCTTATCAATTACTCGAATTATTAAAAAAATCAGTTTTAAATTTCAAACTTTGTCGCCCTGTATATCGAACATGAAGCTCTAAATTGAAAAATGGTATTATGAAAGTCTTATTGTTTTAACTCAAGGAATATATGGTTAACGGATTGACCTCTTTTTCCCGGACACCCTGTATAAGAGATTTAAAATTCCAGACAAAGTTTTGTGCATACAAAATTAGGTCACTGAAAAATAAATCACTTTAGTTACTACTAGGAACCATGATACAACAAACCAAAGGTATGACATCTAGCGGTCCAAAACTCGTCCGCTTCGCGCAGTGACGTCAGTTCGAGAGTGATTTTAAATGAACATAGCGGAAACACTTTATTTATTTACCCTTTTAGGTGGAAATACGTATCAATTAGATACAAAAATCATAAATACACATTCAATTTGCATCTTTACGAGGAAATTCTCATTAATGTAATATATTAATTGATTTGAAAAGCCATTATAATAGTAATTAGTATAATGTAAAATATTGCTGACTTTTATTTACACTTTTAAGTAAAAATTATATTATAAATTAATTCGATTAAAAATATAATAAATAAATAATTTAATATACCTATATGCATGCACAATTTAGATTTAAATATTATTAATAAACAAATTCAAATTACATTTTAGTGGTAAAACAAAATAATTTAATATGCATATTACTTGAAAACCAAAAATTATATGAAAGAGTAAATTTTTGGCATTATTTTATTGCATAAAATAATTGAAGCAACAAATAAAAATAAATAAAACAATATATACCTATTAAGGCAGTGTTTATTTTTAAATTTACAGATAAAATTCCAGTAAGGTTTTTATACTCGTATATTAATAAATAAAATATGTGCAACAAAAGTTGAAATAAAAAACACAATCTGGCTGAAATTATTTAAAAAAGATCTTGTTTCGTTTTATTGTCTTTAGGCAACGTAAAAAACCTTATATCTTTATAGAAATTTTTCGACTGATTGTTACTAACACACCCAAACACAGCACACCTCATTACTAATCAAAAATAATAGAAAAAACCTCGTAAAAACTGAACGCAAGTGTTGAAATTCAACGGTAATCTAGCGGCGAAATAAATTCCAACTCTCTTTCTGACGTCATGACGTGTCACTAAGCCACGCCTTCCTGCGCGAAATCATACCTTTGGTTTGTTGTATCATGACTAGGAACTACCTTAACAGAAAGGAGCAATATTTGGAATATAAGTTGGTGCTAGTGCCTATTAACCATATCTTGTCTAGGTAGAATTGCAATATTAAGTAAATTGTCTTCTTGTTTCAGTTGTGCTATGGTGCCAGTTCGCCCGCCCTCTCCGATCGCAACCGCTTTCCGACCCTTTTTCGCACCCACCCGTCAGCCACTGTTCACAACCCCACGCGCATAAAGTTGATGAAGAAGTTTGGCTGGTCGCGCGTGGCCATCCTGCAGCAGGCCGAGGAGGTTTTCATATCGACGGTCGAGGACCTGGAGGCGCGCTGCACGGAGGCAGGCATCGAAATTGTGACACGCCAAAGCTTTTTGTCAGACCCGACGGACGCTGTCAGGAACTTGAGGCGTCAGGACGCCCGCGTAATTGTCGGTCTGTTCTACGTGGTTGCCGCAAGAAGGGTGCTTTGCGAGTTGCACAAACAGAATCTCTATGGAAAATCATATACTTGGTTTTTTATCGGTAAGTCCCTTTTATTTTATATATAAATAAAATATTAAAAACATACAGTTTTTTTCGATTTCTCTTTAGTTTGTTATGTGTATTTATAAATGTTTTTAATGGTAATAGGAAATCAAACACATATGTTTTGTCTTCAAAAATAATGTATGGGCATTAGGGTGTCCCTTATTTTTATTTTTTTACGCATACCCTCTAATTATATTTATTGCGTGTTTATATACTCCCAGTAAAAATTTCAGCTCATTCTATAAACGGGAACCCGTGCCGACTTGCATCTAAACCCTCCGTTAGCCAACGTTGCAACGTTAGGCGCGCGCGGTATTTTGTAACACTTTAAAAAGAAGATATACTTTATGATTGTATTTTTCTAATGATTTTATTAAATATGATTACTTATTAATATTATTGCTTTTGTTTTTATCATTTGTTTCACTAATTTAGTTGGTTTTATCCCTAATTTAGTTGGTTTTATCCCTTAAATATATTAATATACTAATTAGTATTGCTTAAATATACTGTTAAATGAAATTTCAGCTTTTTATAAGCATTTCTTTTCTTGATGTCCTCCCAAAAATATTTCAGACAGTTCAATAAGTTTTCGGTAGTCATCTCTCACAATAGACTCTTTTAGTTATTTAGAGTAAAACCCATTAAGTTTATCAATTTCAGAGTTTACGGCCTATTCACCAGACCCTTTCGGGTAACTAGGCACTCCCTGTGAAAATATACATTTTTATCAACGTATACACATAAATAAAATTTGTCAATAATTTATAATATAAGGGTCACATTATAACAAACACAAAATGACTTACGATCGAAGACCTCGCGACCAACCGTGTTACAAAATACCGCGCGCCTAACGTTGGCTAACGGAGGGTTCAGATGCAAGTCGGCACAGGTTCCCGTTTATAGAATGAGCTGAAATTTTTACTGGTAGTATATAAACACGTAATCAATATAATTAGAGGGTATGCGTAAAAAAAATAAAAATAAGGACACCCTAATGGGCATATAATACACCCATTTTATTATTAAATAAATTTTAAGAAGTATATTTATATTAAAACAAAATTGCAGACATGCATTCAGAAGCCTGATTGTAGTAATCAGGTCAAAATAAAAAAATAAGTTCTTTGTTTTTAAAAATTTAACTTCGATAAAAATATAACAATCTGCTCCTTGATTAAACCTTTAAAAAACGAAAATGTGAAAATCAACATTTTCGAAGTCTATTCTTTAGGATTGAATATCTTTCGCTTAAAAATTCTACTTTGTCATATTTTTTTTATCAAAAATACAATGGCGGTAGCCAAATAACCTTGTATTTATAATGATCTAGTTTGCTACTAAACCTTCCAGGTTAAAAATATATTTAATTTTTCCCGCGGGTTTTTTTCACAATAAGATGTGGAGCTATTAAATTGGGTTAAAATATAAATTTTATCATAGTTGTTCTTTTATTCAAATTAGAAAGAGTTCTTTCTACGTGTCTATTTATTTTCACAGTGGTCCTGAACGAGGCATAGGTCACATAAAAATGACGCCAAAAACTGACTCCAGTATTAGAATAAGGATATCCTCTGAAGTTTAAAAAATGTTTTTCAAAATTGTAGCTGTTCCTTTTTAGAAGTTTTGCTTAATAATCCAAATTTCAAACATCATTTTAGTTTTTTTCCATTATCTTTAAAACAGAGGCCTTTAGAAAAAATGTTTGTATAGGGAAATAAATGTGACTTAATTATCTATTAAATCATGCCTCTATAATTATGTCTAAACTATTGGCCTGCGAAATCCAAGTCGTGAATTTTTTTATGTTTAACTGGGTATTAGGGTGAGCCAAAAAAACTAACCTATCGGATTTATGGGATAAAATGAATCTACATACCGAAAAATTTTTACACTTTTCAAAGCTTTCAAACATACGAATTTTTTAATTAAAAAAATAATCCTGGTATAGATTCTTTGGGAAATTTTATGCTCTACAAGAATCCGCGACGTAAAAAATTGTATCTCAAACGGTTCAAAAGTTATAGTCTTTTTAATGAAAAAAGATTTTTTTACGTGTTATTTCAATGGAAAACTTAGAATGCTCACCGACACCTTTTAAAATTGAGCAAAAAATTTTGCCTTGCAGGGAAATTTTTTGCTCGGTATGTAGGTTCATTTTAACCCATAAATCCGATAGGTTAGTTTTTTGGCTCACCCTACTGGGTATGTTACATTTTTTTTCAAATAACCTGTCATAGGTTACTTTCAACATTGCAGCATAATTTTTCTTTGAAGAAATATAACCTATATAAAACAAAAAAGACAAGTAAGTAGTGATGGGTCGTGATTTTGATAACGTAATTTTGGAACGTTATTTTTAAATCACGTTCCGGAACGTTCCTAAATATATCGGAACGATGTGACAGCGGATCGAACTGAATAGAAACAGAGAATCCGACCATTGAATGAGTGAACGGAGCGAGTGGGAAGGGAACGACGTGAAACATGGAACAGAACTTACGTCATTAATTGTTTCGACTTTTACTTGATGAAACTCCATGTTAATATTGTTTTATTTTAATATAAACTACACTGTTTAAAAGTTTCACTATTTTATTTAAATATGACAATTGTTTCGCTACACAGTAGCATCTTCAGATCGCACGATCTGAAGATGCTACTGTGTAGCGAAACAATTGTCATATTTAAATAAAATAGTGAAACTTTTAAACAGTGTAGTTTATATTAAAATAAAACAATAAGAACTAACGTCGCTAACGTTGGAACTGTTTAAAGGGGCAGTTAACTCGTTTCGTTTCTTGATCGACTTTCGCGGCGCGCCGACTTGAGCTGAACTTTATCGGTGCATATAACCAATATAACGAGGCGGGTGGAATCGTTCTGCCGGAACGTGTTAGGTAGTGTAGATGGAATCCAATATACCTAATATTGTACAATTATTAAACTATAATACCAAAAGTTACTAAGAAGGTTTTTTCATACTAGAGAATCTTTATTAGAGATAGACAAAACATTCAAGGAATCAACAGGTTTCTTTATATTAAAGGGGTCCCTAGACGTTTAAAAAATATTTTGCTTAATATTACTGCACAAAAAATTGATTAATGTCCCTAGGCAATCAGACTGTCTGATTCAGACGATGTAACTAAATATAAATATTGTCAACACAATGTTAACTAAATTGCTTAATACAACATATTATGCAATAATATTGATAGTGTAGGGACCTACTTAAACCTTATAGTGTATAGCAAAAGTTACAATATTTAATTTTGGTATTAAATTTGTTATGGTGAGGTCAACAGAACTAAGAGGCGCGCCAGACAAAATGTAGCCCAGCAACGATTCCACTCGCATGTATTGTAAAATCATTTACCCTACATTCCGAAATCACGTGATTTTGGTACGTGACTACTTTTTAGGAACGGAACGGTTTGGTACGTTCCGGATTGGGAACCGTTTTTTCCATCACTACAAGTATGTACTTAATAATTGTCAAATATTATTTATTAATCAAAGTAATGTTATCAACATGAGAAAAAGCATTACATATTTTCTGATGAAAACTCTACAACTGCTCTTTAAAGTTAGGATGTGCCATGTTGTTTATCTTGTATTTTTTCTAAAAATTTTATAAACTCGCGTTGGAAATTCTTGAGATATATCAGCAGCTTTAAATATAACTACTAATGTATGTGAATTTTTATTTAGTCCAAATTTAGCGTTTTGGTGGAAAAATGACCAAAGGACTAACAGTTTTCAAAAAATGTTTCAGAAGCATTTAACATGCATTTTGCTTAAATATGACACCTTGGTAGTTCTTAGAGACCAAATTCAGTGTTTTAGGCCATCTCAACGCATGTTCTTTTCCTAGAAGTTTCACTACTTCGTTTCAAAATACGTAGGCAAAAGTGTTGCCTGGCAAAGGTGATGACTAACTAGATTTCTTTATTTACTCCTTGTTGGCAATTTAATGTAAGCAACTGATGGTAGTATTATTGCGTCAGCGAATACCTCAACTAAACATACATTACTTAGGTACTTATTTAATTTAATGGTCCTGCTTTTTTAAGTTTTTTTAATAGATAAACCATTTTCTGTTGTCTTTTTCTTTTTTGTGAAATATGGCAAATTCGGCAATTAATGTGCAAAAACATTGCCAATGGTTGCGGTTGTTGAAGCATCATTTAATAGATAATTTTGTCATTTTTAATTCTTTATTTAAAAATTTTTTCTAAAGGGCTCAGTTTTAAAGATATTCGCAAAAAATCTTAAATTAGTCATTAAATTACAGTTGGTATTTGAATTAACTTCCAAAATTAAAATAAAAGGATCACCTACAATTTTGAAAAACATGTTTTTAAACTGCAGAAAGGGTATACCCTTATAGTATAGTTATTCCGATAGCGCATTCAGTTTTTGGCATTTTTTTATGACCTATGACTCATTCAGGACCTCTATTTTTTGGATCAATTTATTATTTCATATCACATACTTTACTAAAAATATAAAAACTTCAAATTAAATTTCCCATTTTTTATATATAAATATTTTAATATGAATATTATTATCCAAGTAAGTAAACAGGGAGTAACTAAAATACGAACGTGTAAAATTTAAAAAAATATTCTCATTTTAGATGGGAATTAACTATTTAAAATTTAAAAGAAATGTTGACATGTCAAGGAAGATTTTACAGTTTTTTCCATACATCTCCCTATTGGAATTTGGCCAAGAATTTTAGTTACACATGTATACATACATGTTTATTATTTATTTAAAAAGCTACAAGGTCATTTAAATTAGAAAAAAGTTACGTAGGTAATTACAAATTTATTAAAATAGCATTTGAAAATTGAAAAGAAATCCGTGATTATCAAATAATTTAAAAAAAACTGAAAACCTGTGAAAACTAATAATCGGTACCTATAACTGGAAATTTAAAAAAAAATTATTAATGTCATAAGGCTGAGAAGTGAGTCTTTTTG